AGACAGACAGACAGACAGACAGACAGACAGACAGACAGACAGACACACAGACACACAGACACACAGACACACAGACAGACAGACAGAGAAGAGAAGAGAGACAGACAGATAAACAAACTCACACCAGACAGATATACAGACCATAGACGAGTGTGGGGGAGTCGTAAAGGTGGATGGTGGGAAGGGAGGCGAGGAGTGGAACTGGAAACTTGTTGTGAACGAAACGTAGACATTTTAAGTATAAATCTGGTTGGGCGTGAATGCAGTGTGCATTGCGCAACTGTATCGGGAAAAGGATGTCTAGACTCCGACAGTCTTTTCCAACGGAAGTTCACGTCACCTCGAATTCATCTTTTGCACCGAGGTGAAAGGTTAGTTATATGATTAGTCGCTCCTCCGTTCTTTCCTAACAAGGTAAATTTGCCCGTCTCCCACGCACTGGCAGTCCGCATCAGAGATGAAAGCTCTCAACAAAGCAACGAGTATGATTAGAAGAACGTCGGCTCGATATTAACTCGGGCCCTTTTGCCCCAAATGGCGGGTAAGATCGTCATTCTAAACTTCCCCAAAAATTGCGAAGCTGCCTGCTCCCTGTTCACTTGCTGAGGTCAGACGGAGAGACATAAGGTTTCAACGGTCTAATTGGGCCTGATTTGAAGTTGAAGAGAGTTTTTGGCCTAGGTGATCCATTGGTTTGGATTTATTTAGCTCTTGTTACTTTACGCAGAGCAGGGTCCTTGTCCGTTGCCAACGACAGTTCAATTTAAAGGAATACTCAACTAAAACAAAAACTATCGAAATTCGACAATGAGTGATTACAACAAAGTCCATAAATCCAAAATATTCACTTTGCAACAAACGCAACTTTAATATAGGCTCGCTTCTTACAGCGGAAAATCAAGAAGTCAAATATACCACAGAACAAATGAAGAATTCAAGTGAAAAAAAAAACAGTCACATTTATCATACCACGGCTTATCCTAATTAAAATGTTTTAAAAGACTGTTTGGCTTGTTTTTAACTTGGTTTGCTGATACGAAATACAGTATGTGAATGACTTAGTTGGTTTTTCACAAGATTGATTTCACAAGGGATTTTCTACAGGTACTGCTGTAGGTTAAGGGCCAGATCTAGTACCCTGATTTGTTGGGTTTTTTCTGAAGATGGACTTACTCTTTTTTTTTCATTTGGCCCCTTCAAATGTTAAAGGAGAACCTATATGTAACATCCTGCAATCAGCCAAACTACGGAACAGCAACCTAGTGTGCTTCACGTCTTTTCTCAGTTACGTTTTTAGAAGGACTTTGCTTTCTTGAATAGAATAAGGAAACACCAACTTTTCATTTTAATAATAACATATCGTATTTCAGGGTTTTAGGGGTACAGGCAAGAAGACCAATCAACAGACGGGCAGAAAAATTGAAGGACCTGCTCGTGCCATGACGTACTCGAAGATCTGAAGTGGCGCTCATATGACCGTATGCAGTTGCGAGCGCCGTAAAACCTCTACTAAAACAAAAAAACAAAAAAAGATCTGAAGCGACTCCAACTACAGGTTCTTTAACCCACAGAGTAGCTGAATTATACATTCATGAATGTGTTGTTTTTTCCCCAGAATTTAGGGACAGCTACCGTACAATTATTTTCATGTAGTTGCCAAAGGTTTTCTAAACTATTTACTCTGGTCTTTGTTTTCTCAGTTTTTTGACAATATTTAGTTTGAAATTTTGACAAAGAAGTTGATCACACACACGCCAATTCTCGCGAGACGTCACAGCGAAGCGTCTCACTGCGGCAACACTGACACCGGTAGCTTGCAACTTTTGTGAAGCAGGCTACCATCAATTGGTTAGGGGGTTTTTTTTGGTATATTGTCTATTGAACAAAGTTGATCTGGGGTGAACGGCGGTTATTTTTCGTGAAAACACGTCGAATTATGTACTCCAACAGTAAGGGAGGGGAATGTTTTACCAATTTTACAAGTTTGCACAAAATGGTTTAGACCTGTGCACACACCAGTATTAAGAACCCAAACAGAAAGTACATTAAGCAATATTTCCAGCAACCAGGCTGGCGATATAAATCTCTTTGAAGTCGGCCATCCTTAGGACTGTGTTGTCCGTTTCGCATAGTTTTTTTTTTATTTTAGTTGCAGGCCTATTTTAGGCCCAATCCTCACAATAAATGTGCAGGATATGAGTTGTGAATATTATGCGCCCTGTTAAACAATTCATATAATTAAGTAGGCTGGCTACTCTGAGAGCGCTTGTGAGGACCATCCAGGCTGTGTTGGATACACCTCAGCAGAACGACGAAAAGACTCGAGAAATAAAAGAACCGCAATCATAAAAAGCTCCTGTGAACCTTTGTATCCTGGACCGATTATTGTCGTTCGAGTACCTTGCGCGCGGTGTACTCTTGAATTTGAATTCGTTCACTTTAAGGCGGTTGTTTCCATACCTCTTCGCGTATCTGGGATGGTGGTTTTGGAAATGGAAGTTCTGCCTTCCCAGTAACCGTTCTGTGTTGAACAGGTGATACGACTTAAAACAACATTTACCAAATGGTGTAAATTTAAGTACCTATGTACGTGTTTATGCTTGAATACAATGGCTAGCTGGCTAACAATAAAAATCGCAAACGGAACCAAAAAACTGCCATAAACTGTCATTCTTTCGCTTATAAGTGATGCATAGAATATTAATTTCCCTTCAACATAGCACGAGCTTTTAATTAGATCCTAGCCTGTCATCTCTCGAGGCCTCTTCATTCGCAGTCGTTGGGTGGCTGAGATTAGATTTATTGTCTGAGCCCAGAGGAGTCTCCGACTATGGACATTCTGAACGAGAAAGCTGAAACAGACATGTCAAGAGGAAGAGAATGAAGGGTGGGACACGGTGGGGGAGATGG